TATGACTTCTGTTTCTCCCCAGCTGTCAGTTCAGAGTCTGAGTGTGGATCTGCAATTAGGTCAGCCTTCTGCACTGGAAGCCTCTGGTGACACTGCACAGCCTGCCTTTGGATGGCTGCTTCAAGGCAGGAACCTACTCTGCTTTCACTCAGCTGGTGCCAGGGGACAGGGCCTTGTGCAAGCAGCTCCTTCTCCATAGATCATCGTCATGTGTTTTCCTATAGAGAATGGGCTAGGGGTTGGAGGCAGCACTGAGACTGGGACCTACAAGTTGTTTTCAATTCATACTTCTTACTCAATAGTTGATCGATTCTTCAGGCAGTATGGTTCTTCCACGTGCCAGGCCAGAGAGATGAGCCACAAAATAGGATCTGATTCCAAAACCTAAGCTGTCAATAGAAAATGTAAGAACATATGGGGGGCAATGATAAAGACACAATTTAAGGTGGTGATCATCTCTAGGGAAGAAATGAAAAAAAGTAATTATGCTGATAGTGTACTGTGACAGGTGCTGTGCCCATGGTACTCTCCATACAAGAGGTATACGAGAAGGGATGCTGGTCAATGTGGACTCTGGCCTTACAGGCCAGTTTAAAAGCCCCACTCTTCTACATCCTCGATGTAACTTCTTTGTGCCTCAGTCTCCTCATTTTCTAAAGGGGACAATGAGAAAACTTGGTATAAGAGGTTGTATGGATTAAAACAGCTGGTTCTATCTGCATAAATGGGAGCTGCTACTACCAGTCATTTTCTACTCGATCACAGGCCCTGTTCCAAATGTTCCAGTGAGGGAGGCTTTAGCCAAATGAAGGCTGAGGGCCAATTCTGGGATTAAATATTGCAGCTTCTGTTGCTCAGAGTATATCATCCAGTCTCTGGCAAACTCTCCCCCTCTGGCCTCTTGCCACCTGCTTTCCTATGGCTTCACTTGGTCACAGCTGCCTTGGATGTAACTTTCAGATGACTTCAGCTTTCCAGGTGTATTTTCGGGTGCTACACAGTCCTGACGACTGATCCAGCTGGTAGCCATGATGGGAAGGTTCATGTGGAACCCCTGCCCGCTGGCATCTCTCTGGCTGGTAACTGCCAGGGTGATTCTCCAGACATGGTTTTTTGAATTGCACTGTGCATCCCTCTCCGTCGCCACCTACAGATTTTACATTCCAACATGCAATGTGGTATCTTTTGAGGGCCTACCATGGCCCAGATGCTATTTGAAGGAAATTCATGCAGACATTCTCATTTAAACTATATGGTATCTCATGAGTTGTATGTATGGCTATCCTCGTTTTACAAAGAAGTCAACAGTGGCTTGAAAAGGTTAAGTGACTATCCCCACTAAAATTTTCTCATTCTAAGCGCTATGCTCATTCCTTTACACCACTTTGTCCCCAAACTAGCTAAGAAACACTGCAACAACTTCCAAACACTGTAGGTGTTTCTAGAGAACTTACTATAAAAGATAAATGCTTTTTAATGGTATCTTTTATATTTTACCATGCTAGCTTGAATTTGGGAGATCTTTTTGTAGTGATGATTTGGGCTATTCCCTTTGTATGCTGCAATGTGGCATTTGTATTACGTTGAGAAACTTCCAGAAATAGGATTTGTAGGACCAGGTTGATACTGCCACGTGCTGAGCTTATCTGGGTGGCAGGAGACCTAGAGAAACTTAACTTTTGAATATTGTATTTATAACTGTTTCTAGTATGACTAAAATGGTTTATATATATCCAGGACAGACAATCTCAGAGTCCTTTAATCTTTTTATGTTATAGGGATCAGTTAGGGCACGAAGAGAATGGATCTGAAATTTTACTGTTGGGTTTAGCCTGCATTTCCTTCTCCTGATTTTCTAGTGAAAATGAGCATCGTTCACATGTTTATTGGATATTTAACTTTGTTATTCAGTGAAATACCTATTATTCTCTGCCTGTTTTTTTCTACAGGGTAGTTTATCTTTTTCATACTGATTTTAGGGTATTATATTTGTACAATGTATACAAATCCTCTGTGGTTTATACATGTCATAAGTAGCTGCTTCTAGGCCATTGATTTTCTTTATTATGTGGTTTTTCAGTGTACACAAATTTTAAAATTTATACGTATTTATCCAGTTTCCTTTTTCATCTAAAAATTTTTTTTCTATCCTGGGATATAAAAGTTGTAAAGGTTTGCTTTTTTCACTTAAACTAGCTAGATTTTTTTTGTTTGGGTGTGAGGCAGAGCTAGTTATATTTTACTCTTACAGCTAACAGTAGTCCCAGCAGCATTTGTTAAATAGTCTTTTACTTTCCTTGAAGATATGTACTGACATATCTGTCATGATTCTTTATTCCATCTATATGAAATACATACATGTACATGTTATACGTAATTTATAATTTAATATAAAATTTAATATGCAAATCAAAGTAAAATATACATTTTAATTTTATAATTTATATATAATATATATAGTGTATCTTGTATATCTTGAGCATCTATGTCCTGGCTCTACTCATTCCATTATTCCACATTTCAATTCATGCACTTGATCATTGTGGTTATAGAATAAATTTGATATCTAGTGGGACCAATGCTGTTTTGTTCTTGTTCAAAATTGTACTGATTATACTTGGGCCTCAGCTTGTAAAGTTTCATGAAAAGTCCTTTTGGGAAGTTGAGTTAGAGGTATGCATAAATTGTATTAATTGAGGAAAAGAAGAATTGGTATCTTGACTGTATCTTTCTATTCATGAATATGATACAATTTACCATGGACTTGAGTCTTTCATACATACTAGGCAAGTACTTTACCAATGAGAAATACTCCCAGCCCATAATTGAGTTTTAAAATAATATTTTATAAAAATAATTTTTATGGTCATGAATTATGAGTCACATAATTCATAGTTAACTTATGGCTAACTTAGTAAGGTGTATATGAAAATACAGTTGATTTTTGTATATTTTGCATGTAGAGACTTACTGGACTTGTTAATTTTAATAACTTGATCTCTCTACATACCTGATAAAAGTTATCTGCAAATGATGGCATTGAATTTCTTATGTTTTTTATCTATTCTTCATGTATTGGCTAGGGCCATCAGAACAATGTCAAATATGAGCAATGATAGGAGCATCTTCATATCATTTCTAACATGCAATTACTTGGTGTTTCAGCTTTAAGAATAATGCTCACCATAATTTTTTAAAATGTCTCTGCTGAACATCCATCAGATTAAGAAAGTTTTCTTCTATTTTTAAGTTTGATAAAATTCTTATAAAAATAGGTGTACAACTCAAAGTTTTTGTTCTTTCTTTCCCTTTGTCTTTGAATTTATTCAGTTTTCTAATTGTTGGATTGATTACTCACTAACTTTTGCTCTTTTTAATATAAATACTTAAGCAATAGATTTATTTCTAAATATGTTAGAAGCATCCTACAAACCCTGATGTACAGCTTTTTCATTATGGTACCCTTTGTGTATTTTTGAGCTTTCTGTATTTTTCTTTTTTGACCTGAGTTGTTTAGAAGTAAACTAAATTTTCCAATTATGTAGATTTCTTTTCAAATTTAGCTTATTTTCAACTTGATTGCATTATGGTCATGAGGGAACCAATTCTTGGCATTCATTCAAGATGGTCAGTTTTTAAAAAGTCTGTGGATCTAATGTATTTTCTCAAATTTGGGGTGCTGGGTTCATCTATCAGATAAAACTCATTAACCCTGTTATGTCTTTAACAATTTCTATCAGTGTACAAGAGATAATAAACCCCTTCACTTTGACTGTGGATTACATTAGTTTCATATAGCATTTGAAAACTATAACAGTAAATCAAAGAAGACAGAGGTCAGATAGGGCAAGGTCTGAACTTATTTTATATGAAAGATAAATCTGTCTATGCCCAAGTGTCCAGGGTTGATGTAGAAGCTCCACTGTGAGCCTGGAATATAGGACTTGGTTACAGGGCCAGTGAGTTTTTTTTTTCCTCCACTTCCTTCTCCACACCAATTGACAGCCACAGTTGACTCACCTTTTCTAGTGAGAACAGCTGTGGCACTCATGGCAGAGTATGTGACATCTTTCTCCTGCACTAAGAGGCCTTGTGTTCCCCACTATAAAGGCATATTTGAATTCAAGTATTATTTTATCCCAGCTATATCCTTCAATAAATTGAAAAAAATACATTTCATAAATGTTTATATCTTGGCTTTGGAAGTTTTGTTGTTTCATAAATGAAAGCAACAACCTTCAGAGGCACAACAGACTCCCCAGATAACCCCTTTATTTGTCCATGGAGTTACCTGATTTTTCTCTTTCCCACCCATTCTCTGCTGACATTTCTTATGATCTTTACCCCTGTGATTCCCCACCAAAGCATCTACATAGCTGACATCCCCACAATGTCATCCTTAGTGAATAGACCAGACTGTGGTGTTAACAAGAGCCAGGGATCATTCTTTGAACATGGGAAATTCTTGATACAGGGGAAATTTACTTAACTTTATTTGCCTTTTAGACCATTGCTGTTCTCATCTGTCTTCTCAACATCTTTTAAGATGACACTGTTGTTTTGAGGTTCCATATTTAAAAAAACTGGTATATGGTAAAATATCTTTAGTACATGCTTAATAGAAAACATTTTTAGTTAGAAAGGTGATTCCAGGTTATCAAAGTCTTAACATAGATCTTAAAGATATATTTTTTTATTTTATGCATTTTACTAAAATACTTTCTATTTAAACAATGCCTGTGATTGATGACTACTATATGCCAAGCATGTTGCTTGGTATTTTATGTAACCACCTTTTTGTCCTAGCAGTGCTTGAAGCAGGTTGCCTATCACCATTGACAGACAAAATTCCTGAAATCAACCTGAGACACTCAATAATTTTCCCCAAGCAGTGCCTAGATACTGGCAGCGCCCTCAGTTCTAACCAAGCTGAGACTGATTCCTGCTTCAGTACTTTTAACAGTCCAAGCAACTAAAACATGAACTCATTGTACCTTCAGGTCATCACTGAGTGGTCTTCTCACATCATCCTTTAGGCAGCACCAAGAGTCCCTGGCAGCAGAGAGAGAGAGGCGGCGACAGGAGAGAGAAGAAAGGTTGCAGAGAATAGAACGGGAAGAAAGAAACAAATTCAAGTAAGAAGGATTTAAGATTCTTTTAACAATGGATTGCAGCTCAAATCATCTGACTTTATAGCTGTGTATCATCAATACGGTGCCAAAATGTACAAAATAATGTATTTGTTTTTAATTCTGTGTATATCTTTAAGGAAACAAGACTTACCTACAGTAGGCTGGAACTGGTTTGTTCTGACCTTTCTCTAACCATAGGGCAGGAAGAGCCAAATACAATTAGGGATTTGTGTGTTCCTGGGTCCTCCATTATCCAAAATGGTTCTATCCAGGCCTTCCTGAGGACAACAGAGGCTAATTGCCTTAATCTGATTTGCTGTTTCTCTCTAAAGGTCCTCATGTTTTATTCATATTCTATTGGATGCCTCAAAGAAAATGTTTTTCTTACTGTAGCAATCTTTAATATTATTTTATATATATTATTGTTACATATGTATTTTATATATACTATATATAATATATGTATATGTGTGTATATATATGTACATAGCAATAATAATCCCATTTCATGATGGAGGAAAATTCATTCTGTTGATTACCCCCAACCCATTGCCCCTTGATTTCCAGGTCTCTGTCCAGCTTCAAGGATGTTTCCCTGTTTGTGGCCTATTGTAGATTTCATGTCTTGGGTTGTCTTCCCCCACCGAGTCCAATGTCCCTCCACTTCTTCCTCTGCTAGTTCACCTGTTCTCTCTCATCTAGGACCACCTCCTTCCACCCCCATCCCTGGTCTTCATGGAATGCAAACCACTTGCTGAATCTTTCCTTACACATTTTCATCCATTCCCTCTAAGTTTACCTGCTTTCCATTTCTACTTTTCCCCTACTTCTGTACTGTACTCCCCTTCTTCATCTTCCTAGATCTCTCCTAGAGCATCTACATGATCTCGTTGTGGCAACCTCTCACTATCTCTGCATCCTGTTTCCTTCCTTCAGTTCCTCTGCTAATTATTTCTATTGATCATTCTCAATTGGATCAATAAAGGATGTAAGGCATTGTCAGTGAGGACTTAACAAATTGAACAACTTAGTTTTTCTCCAGAAGCCAGCAAGAGTATGTGTAATTGTAGAAATGATAAAAATTGCTGGGTGTGGTGGTTCATACCTATAATCTCAGCAGCTCTGGAGACTGAGGCAAGAGGATCACAAGTTCAAAGCCAGTCTCAACAATTTAAGGAGGCCCTAAGCAACTTAGCAAGACCCTGTCTCAAAATAATATATAAAAAGGGCTGGAAATGTAATGTGGCTCAGTGTTTAGGCACTTCTGGGTTCAATCCCCGGTACCAAGAAAAAAAGTGATTGTGAAGTTGTTAAGCGATAACTCACTACTTCTTGGAAACAGATACCCCAAGTTCATGGGCAAAATGCTAATCCTGGCTTTTATAAGAGTGGGTGTATGAATCACGTGAAGTAAAGCATTGCTGCTTTACCATACTTAAGTGGCACACCCTGAGCTGTCATACTTCTACTGAAAGATATTGGAAACGTCATCCCTGTATTCACATTTCTCATGAAGTAGTTTGAAAAACTGGTCTTTTCTGTAACAATTTATCTTTAAAACTCCTGGAACTAGTTAAATGCTTCCTGATTTATGGCTTTCTGAAAGATCTGCATACTTTGCCACCAAATAGCAACAGGGAATTTGACTGAAAGATGTGGAAAATTCAGAGATTAGCCTACATACCCCAAATTTTTGATTGGTACCCTATCTTAAAATGCTGTCGATGTTGAGACAAATGAAATTGGCACATTGTTTCCTGTCACTCCTATCGAATCACTGAGTACACGCATAAATCATGGACAGAATCCAGAGCTGAAAGCTCTGAAAGAGCAGGTGAGTGGAGGGAGGAGACGAGCATTTAAAATTCCACCAGGGAGAGTTCACTATTTTTCTCCTGTATCACATGACATGACCTCAATGGCAACCCAAAACTTAGAATTGCAAATCAATATAGACCAAAAGAACTCCAAAAGAAGCCCTCTTTTCCTGGACTGAGGCACAAGGGAGTTCCTAAGGATCAGAGTAGAGAAATTCTCCATTTTTACTTTTTTTCTATTTCTCCTGGCCCAGCTTCCAAGCAGTGTTGTTTCAAAGGCACAGGATAGCAGTAATACCCAGGCAGGTGCCTACACTCTGATAGGAGAGCCCATCCCCTGTCCAACGGAGCAGTGGCCTGGTGACACTAGGCAAATCATTTTCCTGTCTGGCCTTCTGCTGTTCTGCTGGATAAAAGTGCAGTCAGCAAAGTATGCAACAGAGCAGGGCAACTAAAGCCACAAGCTTTGACTGAAGGACCAGCAAGGAAACCAAGGAAGCCTGAAAGTGTTAGTCACAAAGAGCAGGGAGATCGAGTGAGCACTCCTGAGCCCATCTCTGATGTGTGCAAGTGAAGGCTCTGAACGTGAACCGCATACCACAGCTTTTAAAAACTAAATAGAGGATCATCACCCAGGTCCCTGACTCGTCAATGGGTGGAGCACACAGGGCCTGATGTTAGTAACACTAAAAGTAGATGCAAACTGAGTTAATATTGGAAACAACATCAGAAGGCAGGCCAGAACTCACAGGCTGAACCTATCCTGATTGTCTGCTAAAACAAAACAAAAATCAAGATTTTTTTGGTAGAAATGCCCAGAATCTCATTATAGGATATTTAAAATTTATAGACAACAATTCAAAATAAGTTGTCCTGCAAAGAACAGGAAAAAAGCATTTCTAAACAATATTTTTATTGTAGATGGTCATAATACATTATTTTTATGTGATGCTGAGGATCAAACTGAGTACCTCACTTGTGCTAGGCAACTCTCTACCACTGAGCCACAACCACAGCCCAAGGAAAATTTTAACTTGAAAAGATAATCAAAAGATAACCACAAAATGAAGAAGATGTCATAATTATTACAAAAGACTTTAAAGTAGCTACTGTGAATGTGCTTCAAGAAGTAAGGACAGTTGAGCATGGTGGCAATGCCTGTAATCTCAGCAACAAGAGAAGCTGAGGCAGGAGGATTGAAAGTTCAAGACCAGCTTCAGCAAGTTAGTAAGGCCTTAAGTAACTTGGTGAGACCCTGTCTCAAAAAATTAAATGGGCAGGGGATGTGGCTCTATGGTAAAGCACCCCTGTGTTCAATCCACGGTACCCTCCCCCAACAACAACAACAAAAACAGGAGGAGGACAAATGTACTGGAAACAAATGAAGAGGTATCCTGCGAAGAAAAAAATGCAAAAAAAGGCTGTATACATACATGTAGAACTCAAAAATGTTTTAAATCAAAATGAAAAATTACGTTAGCTGAGCAACAGAAAAGAAAGGAGTCGGTGAACCTGAAGGTGGTACAGTAGGAATTATCCAATCTGAAAATGAAACAAATTGAAAAATATGAATAGGGGCCGAGGTTGTGGCTCAGTGGTAGAGCGGCTTGCCTAGCATGCATGAGGCGCACTGGGTTCAATCCTCAGCACTACATACAAATAAGGGAAATAAAGGCATTCTGCCAATCTATAACTACAAAAAAAAATTTAAAAGTATGAACAGTTTTTGAGACCCATGGAAAACATCAAAATGTCTAGAATTCATGTGTAGAGTCCCCGAGGTATAAAAGAATAGGAAAAGAATGTGTTGTAATATATATTGAGCCCCTTATGTGTGACACATGCACAGAGAGTTGAGGATTAGACTTGGATACCCTGCCATAGGAGACTGTTCATAGCTGTCTGCCATTTGCTCTTGGTTCCAAATGATTTTCACTTCTCATTTAAGAGAGCAGAGATACCCAGCAGAACGACTTTTTTTTTTTCCGGAAAGGAAGCTAACATCAGGACAGAGCGTAGGCAACTCAATTATAGTAATTGCAATTCCATATTCTGAGAATGAATGAAATGAGATTTGAAAAAGGATATAGGAAGAGCTTCACATGGTGGTCTCTAGTGTTATCTGAAAGGACACCTCTCACTGGTTTCATTAACTTAAATTGTTCACCTTTCTGTGATTTTTTTGTTATTGTTCCTTATCAGTTGTTGTTTTTGTTGAATGTGGTTTTAAGCTTTCAAGGTTATGAGAAATTTTATTTCTTGTGTGGAAAATGATAATGTTTATAAGTGATGACCAATCTGAGTCCTAGTTGCAGCCCACCCCCAACCTACTTCAGTCTTCATGAAGTACTGTCCCTTTTAATCCAGTTAGGGACTCTATTCAGTTAGGAATAGAATACTAAGCTCCATCATGAGGGTCATTGTAGAAAACCATGTCTTGATTCTCCAGGAAAATAAACAGTCCACTGAGAGGTGACTGACCAAATAGTCTTAAACTCAGATTCGAGTTGGAACTTGATCAAGAGAAAAACAAAATGTTAAAGTTGAACAAAGATGGGCATCATATGGATGCAAACAAAGAAAAAGTCAGAGCTCCTAACATTCCCGACCTAGAAACTGAGAGAGTGATGATGGGGAGAAAGAACCCTGGACTATGGAAGGAGTGTCCAAACTGTGGAGTGCAACAAAATGGCCACAACCTTTGGGCACACATTGATTTTTTTTTTTTTTTTTTTTTTTTTTTGGTGTGTGTGTGTGTATGGGGGGAGATTGAACCCAAGAGTGCCTTACCTCTGAGCTACATCCCCATCCCTTTAATATTTTTGAGAGAGGATCTCAGTTCATGAGGCTAGTCTTGAACTTGGTGATCCTCCCGCTTCAGTCTTCCAAGTGTTGTAATTACTTGTGAGCACAACCCTGCCTGGATGAAGTTTATTTCATGAGATAGATATGATGGAACTACTGGAATTCAGTCAAATATTAATTACCTCCAATATCTATTGCCTACTCATAGTCACCACATTTTATAAATGTATATTTTAAAACTTCTCTTCCTCACTACTTACCTTTCCCCCCCCATAGAGTAATTAATAGTATTGCTGAGTGAATCCTATTTTTGTGTTTTTTGATGTCTTTGTGATTTTATTGAAAATCCATTGTTTAGAACTTTTAAAGTACAGCCTTTAAACTTTAAAAAAAATTCAACATGTTTTTCGTTTCTGAATAGCAGGCTTTCATGATATCTTGTTAATAATAACTTTGTAATTTTATAAGCATTTAATTTTATTATTTTCCTTCCCCGTTTGTTCTGCATATTTCTATTAGCCGAGAGTATTTAGACAAAAGAGAAGAGCAAAGACAAGCAAGAGAAGGAAGGTTGGTATCTCTTCTTTCCCATTCTAACCAAAAGGTATGTGACTTTGCACTGTTAACCAAGCATGCAGAGGAGACTGTGTTCATTAAAATATATTAACTTCTTAGGCACCTAAAGCATTGTGTAACTGGCATTTTGTGGGGGAGGACCGCAAAGAGTGCCATAGTTGTGTAAGTTTTTCCAGGTAAAGTTTTATCATTTAGTGTTATGGTGAAATGTATGTGTGCTCCTCTCCAAATGAGCACATTACTATTACCTTACTGACACATGGTACATGTATTGTCACTTAACTGCTGGGATCTGTCCTTGAAATTACTTCTATGGGACCATTGTTGTATATATGATCCATCAATGACCAAAACACCATTGTGCAGTGTATGACTGTTTGACATGGCATGGACCACCACTGCTCAGCCCAGGTTAGATACCTTTAGCATGTGCTTCCATGTCACTTCATTGCCATTCCTTCAACAAATATTTGAGCGTACACATAGTAAGGGGTGATAGACACACCCAAGAGTCACATATGACTCTTGCTGGTTGCACCTGATCATACCCCCGTCTCCTGAGTTGCACCCAGCTTCTGAGTGTCAGGAATTATGCCTATGGTTTACCTTGCTTCTCCCAGTGCCCACGACAGTGTGTGGCATGTAGTAGGCACTTAGGAATGTTATGTAGAATAAACAAATGAGCAAATGAACCAGCAGCTTTATTTTAAGATATTCAAGCTGTAATCTAGCTTATTAACTTCAGTGGAAGCAGGGCTTGAACCCCAATAAAAATAGTTAGCGTACTCAGTGTTTGATAAATCTAGGTAAACATAAAAAAACTGGTTTTAGACAAGTTTTTACCCTCTACACTGTACAGACTGCAGTTGTCACCTCTGCCACCAGATGGTGTTACAGCATGGAGAGATGGAAAGGCTCATTTTACACCTTTTGTACTGGAGCCAGCTGGGAACCTAACAATTTCTGGACTGTGCCAATAAGATGTGGAATCATGCTAATTTTTTAGACACCATCAGCTAAATAGATCAAGACAGTCTGAGCAGAGTGGAGACTGTCTGTGCTCAATTAAAAAATTAGGTGCTTAAGTCAGCCTCATAAATAAAACTACAGCAATGCTTTATTTTCAACATTCTATTAGATTATTGTCATCCTAACTACCAGTTGTGGCTAGTAAATTCAGAATGAAAGATGCTGGTAAGGAAATAAGAAACTTCTGTTTCTCTAACCAGTGTCTGTTTATAACATGGGGTGGGGGTGTATAAATTACACTCCCTCTTACTGAAAATATTGTTGACTTTCTGCCCAGGCTTAAGGAATTTTTTTTAAAGTTTTTCCTCCATAGTCTATACTTTGAGCTTCCTACAACTTGACCATCAGATTATATAGGCAAAGCTTGACAGCCCCTGGGGAAATGTCAAGGTGCTTTGTGGTTCAGACTGACTTCAGAATTTTTCTGAACCATTGAAAAGCCAGGGGTGGTTATTTGCTGCTCTTTTTTCCAATAAGGGCTTATGCCTGGCAGACTTGTATAAAGGAGGTTGTCAATCCTCTCCTCCCCTATTTTTCTCTGCCTTTGGTCCTCAACCACAATCTGCCCATCTGCCTGGGTTGCCTTAGCAGGTGCAGGAGGAGACTCCCCATGGCCCCATGAGGGCTCCTTCCCTCAGCCCACTTTGGGGTTCCACAGAAGTTTGATAAAAAGCAGCCAATAATTTTCCTTTGGTTTGGATCAATCACTTTTTTGGGTAGTTTGTTTCTTGAATTACCTGGTGATAATTAGAGTGAGGGAGAGAGACTCTAATCCCTATGGAAAGTTTTGAGTATTCCTGGTAATCCAGGAAATAATAAGATCTCCAAATATAATGGAATTTGGAAATAAATGGAGCAACTAAGTGGAGATCAGAGGTAGAAAGAGGTTCAGAAATAAGAAAGGACTCCACCTATTAACTCTTCAAGATAGAGTATGGGGCGTTTCCAGGATTCAATGTGACTCTTAATGAAAAGACTCAGAGAATGATGGCCTGAGTCATGACCAATGGTTTCTGGGTTTGTATCATGTTAGTTGAAGAAGATAAACATTGCTTTGCTATGTTGAGGTCCAGTGACCATCCAGTAAAATTTTATTTCATATCTTTCCATGATTTCAGACAAACTTTCATTGACAGTGATAGACCAGGAATGTTTCTATGGAGTTGCTGCTTCTATTTTTTTAAAAATAGAAAAGTTTTTATATGATCCATTTAAGGGAAGTGCATGAATTTTTCAGAAAGTGGAGTGGAGTATAAGGAGATCCAGTCTGGGGACATGTTGGGGTGGAGGTGGGGTAGTTGGTACATCAGTTTGGCCTAGGTTTTTTTTTTTTTTAGTCTGAGGGGGGAGCTGGGTAGCAGGATCCAAAGAGGAAATGCCACCTGGTGAGCATGGCTTTCAGAAACCAAGCACAGGAAGATTTAGGGGCTGGTTTGGGAGTTTGGAATTTATACACAAAAGTCAACAATGAAGCAGTGAGAAGGGATTCTGAGCATTGCTTAAAAGGACTGAGAATAGAAGTTAGAGGAGCTAAGCTTGGGAGAGTTTCCAGGAGGAAGGAAGCAGGAAACATCGTCGGTGACTAGATTTAGGTTAACCTTAGGTCGGGTTTCTATAAAGTTCTGTGCAAAAAGCCTGAGCCACAGCTCCAGCCCTGCCACTAGACCCTGTGGATGCTGGGTTTATTCCAGCAGTTTACTTACCTTTCCTTTTCTTGTTTATTATTAAATCTCTGCTACTAGAGTTCTTAGCACATGACAGGGACTCAGCCAATGTCCAGTCAATAAGTGAAAAGATGAATGAGCAAACAGGATGAGGCACAATGAGGAGAAATGGGAATGTTTAGATGAAGGCAGCAAAGGTGGAAGGTCTGTGCCTGGGGCCATGCTCTGTAGAGTGGAAGCCACACCTCCGGCTTTGCACAGGAGGTTCCGTCATGCTCTGTTCATTGCTGTTGCTTCATGACGCAGTAGACACATGACAGCCACTGCATGGGCTGATGGGCTCCCCAGATCAAGTGTGTTTGGGCCCCTGAATGCTGGGGCTTTTAATCACTATCTAAGGGAAGGCCATGATACAGGTCCAACTTTCTCTCCAGGGCTCCAGAGAACCTGTGGGCAGGAGGGTCGCTCAGCTGTAACTTCTCACTGCTGGCTACTATGCCTCTTTCCATGAGTACCAGCCCACCACCCTCACCCCGATTGCTATAGACAAACACTGCTGCTCCTCTTCCAGAAAAGTTCAGTGTTATTGTGAGCGCACAAATGACGGAGTCGGGGAGCAGATCTCAGATCAGCAAGCTTCTCTTTATTCTGCAGCGGGGTCAATCGGACAAACACCTGCTGTGGCTCATTTTCAGGGATAAAATGGCTGCTGGCCGCGAGGTTCTGGGCTTTATATACAATCTTAGCAGAGCTAGGCCATGGGAGGAGTTAGTCACTTTTGGCAGGGCTCCTTTGGGGGGCAGGGGGTTGGGCCAGGTCATGGGAGTTATGTTGACAGGATCATTTAGGGTGGGAAGACAGGTAACACTGTCTCTCACTCTTGTCCTCCGTGACACTCTGCCCCTGCCATTTAAAAAAAAAATTATATATATATATATATATATATAAACAGATAAAGCACACAGGACACACTTGGACATTTTAACCATTTTAAGTGTATAGTTCAGGAGTTTAGTACTATCAGGTATATTCACATTGTTGGGTTACCAGTCTCCATATATCCCTTATCTTTTTAAACAGAAACTCTGTACCCATTAAACACCATACCTCACCCCAGCCATTTTTGTCTACCACGTAAACATCCTCATTCTTTGGGATGATTCTGGTTAAACCATTGACTCTTCCCCAGGATGGCATCCGCAGACCAAGGGATGCATAGGAGTAGTCTTTGTATTTTATCTATTCTGGTTCTAGGATCAGCAGCTGGGATGAGAGTCCCCCAGAATGTAGTGTGAATCCTTTGTTTGCCAGCCCATGCCTGCCCACAGGGAAGTATAGGGAAGGATATGGAAATCCAGGACCAAGGCTGGACCAGCTAACACGAACCCCGTTTGGAAGTCTTCACCCTGTTTGGAAGTCTTTTGTGCAAGGCCTCATTACCATACTTTCTGGTTTCCTGTTCTTGGATTCTGATCTTCTAGACCTCTGTGGATAGTCTTATTTGTACTTCCTTCCTTGCCTGCCCCTTTCTCCTGTCCTAGGCATGGACTCAGTGTGAGTATGCCTGGGCTCCCTCTTCCTGGCCTGACAGCATTCATGGCCTTGAGTAAACTGTCTGAAAAGCTTCTAGGGGTCTCAACATACTGCCATGAAAATCCTTTTATTTCCCAGCCTGGCAGGGGATGGAGGGCTCCTTGCTCATCTTAACTGAGTTCAGAAACATGTTCTTTGTTAACTTTTTTACCTTTTGTGTTAGTCAACAACTTAGAGGAAAGGTTTATTTTTGACTCATTGTTTCAGAGGTTTCAGTTCATGATTGGTTGGCTCCATTGTTCCAGGCCTGAGGTGAGGCAGAGCATCATGGTGGAGGGGTGTGTTGGAGGAAAGCTGCTCATCCCCAAGTAACCATGAAGCAGAGAAACGGGAAGAATGGGAGGGGCTGGAGAGAAGATAAATCCACCCAGGACACGACCCCACTAACCTCCTTCCTCCAACTAGGTCTCACCTCCTAGTAGTCCATTCCATCATCCACTGTTGAGGTCAGAGCCCTCACTTTCCAGAAGTCCCACCTCTGAACACAAGAATCTGGGGAGATTCCAGATCTAAACCATGACACCTTTAGAAGAGGTGATGTTTTTGGCAAAGAAGTTCAGAGTGTGATTCTTTCTGGGTATAGCCTCATCCCTTGTGAGGCATCTGCTCTGGCACCAAGCCTCAGATGTTTGTACCAGGAAAGCAGGCTCACTGCCCATGAAAATGAAATGGGGTGCCTTTGCTCCTTGGCACCCTGGGCCACAGGTGGGCCTGTGCAGGTGGAGGCTGCTGTGCAGGTTTCTCCCTGTGCACTTTGCCTGCTCTCCATCAGCCGACAAATGCAAGGCACTGAGGGAGAGAACAAAGGATGATAATCTTCCTTGTTCTGAAAAATCGTATTAGCTGCTTGTTGAAAACAGACGTACACATGTGAAAAGATGACTATGCCAGGCCGTAAATGTAAAATGCCATCCAAGTTGAATGGGCTACATATCCGACATGAGTTCAGAGGCAGGACCGAGATCGCTTCCAGCTGTGGTGGTCAAGGCAGGCTTCACAGAGCGGGAAGCACATGCAAGAATGGGTGAAGGACAGTCTGCCTTTGTGCTGGCCGGGAGAATGGGTACTGGTGACAGGGAGCCACGCCCACTGAAGGATGGGATGGAGAAGTGCATGCTTTCTAAATGCATCCTTCGTAAAGATTCTAAATATGTGCTTTGCCTTTCTCATCCTGGTGAATTAGGAGCATCATGTCCAATGCCTGGGTGGGTCCCTGGTGGGTTGGGAGGGGCTGAAGCAGTGCATCCGGATGGGTGTGGAGTGAGGGTCCCAAGTAAGCTATTTCACAGTTCAGCGGTAGGTAAGATCCTCAGAGACCTGCTGCAGCTGAATTCTGCACAAATAATGGTGGGTAAAATCAGCAGACATCTGGACGAGGCACATATTTCAGAGTTATTTTGGTCTGATCTATAAAGCACACTATGAGGAATATGATTGGTAGCTGGTCTTAATAAACAGTGGGTTTTGCCTGCCTGAAATGCAAAACAGATGTATCTTTGTTCTTTTAAACTGACTTTGATGAATAAACTATATGTGACGTCAGGTCCAAGCTATTGGATGTCTGAGTCCTACTCAGAAATATTTTAGAATATAAAAAAAGTTTCCATGGTTGATGCTGAAAGAACAAAGTAAATTCCAGTTGCATTGCTGTTAGCATTGAAGCAGGTTCAGAAATTCCGAGAGGCCTTCATCCAAGCAGACCCTTTTGTTATTTTGGGACCATTGTTTCTCTCCATCACATCGAGTCCAGGCGTGTCCTCCTATTTCGCAGCTGTGCGCTCTGAGGGTCTGGTTCTCAGCTGTCACTGTTAAAGCTTCTAAATGATTGTTATTACTATTTTGCTTATTGGTGCAAATGGTTCCTAAAAGAGCAAAACGGAATGCTGCCGCAGTGATGCAGGATCTGGGACTCTGCGATGTGGCCACTTCCCGCAATTTGTTTGCTTATGAATGATGCAGGGTTTTTAATCATTAGCATCTTGGCTCCGCTGGGTGTTTCTGGCAGACTGACCCTCCAGTCAGCTTTGCGCTGCGCTCTGTGCACCAGGAAACCAGCTCACCCTGCAGGTGTTTCATCCATAAACAAGCATCGGCCACAGGCTCCTCTTTCTTTTTACGGAAACCCTTTGGAATTTAACTTTCAGATACAAGTACTTGGAACAGTTGGCAGCTGAGGCACACGAGAAGGAGCTGAGAAGCCGGAGTGCAAGCCACGGCAGAACTGACCTCTCCTTGGACCTGACCTCACCGTCAGCCCCTGCTTTGCCTGCCCCTCTGAGCCAGAACTCTTCATCCTTAAACCCGAAAGAGGCTCTCCACGTGTTACCCTCTTCCCTAGGAACACCTCTGCATCCCCAAGGTGAGTTCAGGGAGAGTAGAGGGAAAACAGATGGGTTAACATCAGACAGGTTCTTCTGTGCAGCCTTAAGGATTCCAACATGCGAATTAATGTGAAGACAGTCATGACAGGTAAGTTTGGAGAATGGCTGCAACCTGCACTGTCAGTAGACATCTTCAGAGCCACTAATAGTAGAGCAAAATCATTTCTAAAAGTGGCCATTGAAAAGGGAGAGTATAAAAAATAAGACACACCTAATCCCAGACATCAGGGTCTTAATACTTTATAATTTGGATATATGGGTCTGCTCAATAAAGCGAGCAATTTTGAATTTTCTTACCCTGGGAGCTGTTAGGTTTAAATTAAACTGATGAATAACAAAATTAATGAAAGCAAAGAAAATGTAGACCTAATTAAGATAGAAGTTAAATACTAAAGAAAAAAGTTAAAATTACTGGCACATGTTGTGTATACCGGCTATGTGCAGACTGGCAGGCTCTCCTGGAGAAATTCTGTCTTAGTTTTATTTGGAGAAAAGCAATAATGTTGTTCACTGCAGCCTTGAGCATCAGCTGTCTCCCAGATTGCTCTATGCACTATGGGTTTGTTTTCTTTCACATTAACCTGCAGCATGGTTCTCAGGCATAGGTGCTTGCACAATGCATGCTGGTTAACACTGCCGTGAGCACTGTTTGGTCTTATTTAGTGTTATGGCTTACAGCCCAGTGTAGACTTAGCCAAACAAACACAGCAGAGACACTAAACTTTTAACTCTAGGAGGGTTGACTAAATATGGCATAAAGTTTAACTTAAGCAAGACAGTACTCCATGACCTCAGCAGAACTGGATGTAATGGAACGACATTGTCTATCCAATTTTTTTTGCTGGCTCTCGAACCTCAGAGCTCATTCTGCAGGAGCAGGCTGGCTCCACCACAGCTTTCAATCATGTCTAGTTACTCCTGGTCCTTAAGCCATAGAAGATTGTCCCAGGCAGATGGGTCAGTCATGGATGAGTAATGTCAGTCTGAAAATATTGAGACTCTGAGGATCAGGAAAACAGACTGATCCGTGACAGCCAGTGCTTTCCAAATGCTGCCTTCTATCATTGCTGTGTCTACGTTGTGGTACTTCCAGAGGCAATATAAAAAAAAAAAAAAAAAAAAAAAAAACTCCCTGCAAAGTTGTAGCTCAGCACTTAACCTTGGGACTTTGCACTCAAGAGTTGCACCTTCAGTCTTTTTCTGAATGATTATGTAATCCGGGAGATACAGAACAGCCCCAAGCTGAGAGGGACCTGTTGGTATCTATTCCTGGTGTTTTTCCTTAAAATTTTAAGCTTAATATTTGTGGCAGAAAATGGCCCCTCAGGTATTTTGTTCAATCAGAGCTGAATTTGAGGTCATCCTATCTTTTAAAACAGAATATGTTAAACTAACTTCAAGAGCAACACAGATAAGTGTTTTGCACATATACATAGCATGCATTTGGGAAACACTAGTTATGTCAGTATATTTTCAGGAAGATAAATGGCAAATGTCATTTTCCTCTTTGGTGAAAGGGTAGAAATGGAGAAAATGATTAAGTAAAATCACACAGCTGATAACCTGTATCTGAATATGGAATACAGGGCTTGAATTCATACATAATTACAAATTAGTAAGACAGCATCATATGGTGATGTTGGTTTTTTTTCCCTGGGGTAAAAAAAAAAAATTCTTTTAGTATCTAGAAGAGCTATCCATCATGTTTAATAGTTCAAATCAGAACCAGCAAAGAAATCTAGTTTCCTTGTCCTAATGTGTAACTGATGAATAAAATTGGAAAGGATAAGTATATAAAAATTCCATAAGAGAATGATCTCAAAAAGAAGACTTGAGGCTTCCTTCTGATTTGAAGAGTTTTGCCTTTATGACAGAAATCGTGTTGGGGTGCCAGAAAGCTTTTTCTCAGTCTATTTTGTTATTCTTTGAAACATCCTGGTAGCATCTCATTGTTGGGCTATTTTGACTGGATCCTCTTTTTTTTTTTTTTTTTCTTCCTTCCTCTCATATTGGGGATTAAACCAGGGGTGCTGTACCACTGAGCTACATTCCCAACCTTTTTTAGCTTTTATTCTGAGACAGGGCCTCGCTAGGTTGCTGAGGCTACCCTCAAACCTGCAATCCTCCTGTCTCAGCCTCCTGAGTAACTGAGATCACAAGCATGTACCACCATATCTAGTCCAAGTCTCATTTTCAAATTTTTTAAAAGAACTTTTTGCTTATTCCTAACATTTATTACATCTCAACATCTGGAGGAAGAATAAAAAGTATAATCACACATGTAGATGTTTGTCTTGCATCAAACACCTGGCATTATGTGGTCCAGTTTTGCCAGGGATTTACTCCCTTTTTTGCTCTTGACCCTTATGGAATCATAGGATCAAAATACACTTCACATTTTGTGTAGCAATCTGTCCCTTCCTCCCAAATGCTATAATTTAATATCATGTTGTGCATTTGGATAATTAGGGAAATGTTATCCTTATTTTCCTGAGGCTCAAATGGGTTGGAAGATTTGCTTCAGATTTCCTGGCACAATGCTGGGAGGAGAACCAGGTGTTCTGACCCCATCACAACCATTTATCATGGTTCCACAGAATTCATGGTGGTGTACAAATCTATACTGCCCCATCCTTAAGCCTACCTTCTCCCTGCACACTTCCCATTTCTTACCACAGATAAAAATAGTTGCCTGAGATGTGCTTTCTTGCATCACATCTACAGAAATTGTGGCCTATATTTCAGAATTGTATCTATAAGAAAAGGAAAAACTAATATTTATGATTGACTTACATAAACTTCCAGATGATTGTTCATTTTATGGAGTCTTTTACTACAGATCTTTATACAGATTCTGAAGAGCTTTTAAAAGCAGAAAATACAGCATTTAAAAAAAAATCTTCTCTAAAATGTTTTTAGAAAGAGAAGGGCTAATGGTTAAATACCAATAGCATTATGTGCCATCTAGTGAGATCTGTCAGCCAAAATTCTTCCCAGCTAAATCTGCTGTAACTCTTGTATAAATGATGCCACTAACCCCCACCATCAAGTCAAAATGTGTTTGAATTACTTTTCCATCTGGTCCTCTTGTGGCTCACAGCAGATGTGTGTCCCAACACTGCCTAGACTTAGTGGTGATGGTCTCAGTATTTTTCCTCTGTGTAAAACTACTAGGCCCAAGTGAGGAAAAGATATCTGCATGTGTTCTCATTTGTACTGTTCAGAAATTGGTGCAGACCATTATCTGAAAGTTCAGGTATAAATGGTAGGGTATCTCTTTGCATCCATTGCTGTGAAATCCTTACCTTAATTTTTACAAAGCCCTGGAGATTTGCATCAGAATATCTAATAAATTTATGTCCTATTATTAGGAAACTCATAGATGATTCTGAAAGCAAAAAAGTCGTTGTCACTGATTGGAGAAAATACTGTGTTCCTATTGGGATAAAATTCTTTAGTACGATTCTTCAGAAAGTTGTACTGAGGATTAAATAATAATGCATGTGTCCATAAATAGCCAATATAGCCAAGTAACCTATCATCCCCATAGGTATCAGACCTAAGTAACTTCTTTCCTGGAAACTAGGTAGAGAAAAACCATTCACCTAAAAACCAGATTTTTTTTTTTTTTTTTTTAAGAGAGAGAACTCTTTTAATATTCACTTTCTAGTTTTCGGCGGACACAACATCTTTGTATGTGGTGCTGAGGATCGAACCCGGGCCGCACGCATGCCAGGCGAGCGCGCTACTGCTTGAGCCACATCCCCAGCCCCTGAAAACCAGATTTTGACAGAGGTCCCTGTAGTGTGTCCTCGGACTGAATTGCCTTCCCCAGAGAGCTAGAACTATGTCTCCACCTTGCTCTGTCCCTCACACGAGTCTCTCCTGCGGTCAGGTGGAGATAAATGAATTTTCCCAGTGGAAGAAGGCTGCTAGCAAGATTTGATAAGTGACTTTTGTCCGCTAGCTGCTTCATGGAAGCATGCATACTGGCTAGGTTATTTTTGTTGGTAGCTTGACAGCCCCATGTTGTACACAGCAAATGACACTTTGGAGATGTACTTGAAAATTTTTGCCACACTGTTAATTTTGTGTCAGGAAACATAATATTCAACAGTTGTTTCTTTTTCTACTTATTTTTATATTAGATATTTCCACGTCTCCCTAGTATGACTCTGGGGATGTATGTCCTATCCAGTCAAGCTTTTACCAAAATTACTGACAACAGCATTCTGATATTTTTCTCTCAAGCATTTAAAGTAGCAGCAAATATGACAATTCCTCCAGCCTCCTGATCCTCAAACCTGTAAACAAAGCTTAGACATACAATTATGAGATGTCTGCTAAAATGGATAGTCACTTTTCAGGGAAGCAGCCATTCCTCATCCTAGCTGGGGTTATTGTTAGCATCAACTGAACATCTTTGTCACCTTCATTCTGTTTAATATGTTTGACTCTTGTTCAGATGTAGGCATTCTCTTAAGTTACCTAATCTACACGGCATAAGTCATGAAACATCTGGAATCCTATTTCCACCTGGCAATGGAATATCATTAGTCATTAGCTTCATGCTTGCTGGTTCACTAGCATAAAGCTTTTGGACACCTCCAGTCTAGTGCTTCATGAACTGGCAGGAAACCTGATTCTTTGTGGGTCTGTGACTCTGGTCTGCCCTGTTTCCCCTGGACCTCACCTGCTGCTTCTTGATACCATTCGTTCAGTTAGAATCTCTCGGGAGCTGTATCCAAGGCCAAGGGTCTACCTGCTACACCTGCTGTGGGGCCTTACTAAGCGGCTTTGCCAGTCATTGGATTTTTTTTCTCTTGCTATTTCTCATTCTCTAAAAATGTAAAAAGACAACAAATTTTTCATTTTTTTTTGCACTACGGAGATTGACAGTTTCCTGAAGTGTTTTTTTGCATGGTATTTCGACACATTACATAGTCTTTCGTATTTTTGAAGTAGACAAAGAATAAACCTTAAGACAAAGCACAGGATGGCATTGGAAAACTTTGTAAAGGACATTAATTGTTAAACATGGTAATTCCATAGGCATCATTGGGTGTCAAGAATTATGAACATTCTGAGACTTAATCTATTTATAACTTACATGAAACTTATGCCTACTTATAAGGTATTAAGTAGGACTGCCACTGTATCATGGAAAATGGCAGAAGATGCAAGATATCAAGGTCATACACAAAGGACTTTGTTACTTGTGCAAACAGTCATTTTTCCTAGCTTCATTTTCCATATTTGAAGTGGGTAAGTTCCAATGATACCAGTCTACACAGTGTGAAGAACCTGAGGAGAGAGAGACTCTGATCATTTTTTTTTAAAAAGTTTTAGTTGTAGATGAACACAATACCTTTATTATTTTTTTAAATAAGATACTGAGGATCAAACCCAGTATCTCACACATGCTAGGCAGGCTCTCCATCACTGAGCCACAACCCCAGCCCCTCAGATAATTTATAATGGGCAATAAGCATGTCTCCCTTTCATTCCTGGGTAGGCAATTATAGTGGGTAATAAAGGAAATAGTGCTTTGTTCAAGAAGGGAACACCAGTCTTCTCTTGAGAAAGATATTCCAGATCAAAAAAAAAAGTTATTGGTGCCTTTGTTTGCAAGACTACAGAAATATGGGAGATCCGTAGACAATTGTTTCCACCCCCAAATTATGATGATTTTTTAAGTAAAGTTTACTATTAAGTTTGTCTTAAGTCTGTTTAACATAAACAATTTTTGAACAGCAATTATTTGTCCTCATTTAACAAAAAGGAGTGTCAGGGGCTGTCACCTACATCTGGAGGTGTTCACAAAGAACCTGGCTTATTGACTGGGTGAGGCATCAGTGCCTTTCAGTCAAGGTCCGAGCCTTGGGTCAGTGCTTCCAGGTACCCTCAGGAGGTACCAAATATGATGCAATGAGAATTCTTCAGTGTTTGGGACTTTGGGTTTCCAGTCAATAACTGAAACCTAAGAAGTAGCAAAGAGTAACAACTCTCAGGCTTCTTCTAGCATCCTTATCTGAGCTCAGGAACTTAATCTTTTTTAAAATATTTTTTTGTATTTGTACACAATAACGTTATTTTTATGTGGTGCTGAGGATCGAACCCAGGGCCTTGCACATGCGAGGCGAGTGCTCTACTGCTGAGCCATAACCCCAGCCTCACTTAATCATCATTTTGTCATCTCTGCCACTCCTCCTCTCCCTCCAGTACCCCCTTGCCCTTCCCCTATCCACCCTGTAAAGCATTTGTTCAAAATGACACAGTACCTTCAGTGTAGCCAGATAGGTGCACATTGATTTTTTTTTTTTCCAGCCCCTAAAATTATGCTTTTTCAAGAAAACCCCTGGGTTCAGAGACCCTGCAGTGCATTTTATCTACCTCTGAATGTGGCATGCCTTTTCAGTCTTTTGAAGATGGAATTTCTCTGAGAAAGCTGCCTCTGGCAGATGCTTTGGGAAGTTCCAGTAGCTTTTGTTGACTTTTTGGATCCAATCTTTCTAGATCCTTCTGCAACCTCTAGACAATCTGCAGAATGAATGTGTTATTTGACTTTCATATCATCTACATTTCCCTTGCTTTCTCTTAATGTTTCCCATTGTTTTGTTGTAATCTTACTACTCCTTTTCTGCCTGCCCCTGAAGTGGTTGGTGGGTTTTCCTGACTTTCTCTCTAGTTTCCTCGTTTCATCCACACCCTCTCACCACGCCCTCATTTTCCAGGATTGTGATTTTTAGTTACTTTTTAGATGCTGAAACCTGCCATGTCTCTTTCTCAGTCTTGGCTTGCTTGGGCTTAGGGGGGGAGTGTCTTTCACCTTTTCGGATCTCTCCATCTAAATGCCCCTCCTACACCTCAGGCTTGCCAGGTGCCATTCTGAGGAACATTCAGATGGGAGGTGTTTCCCATCTTCATGCATAAACTGCTGCCTGTTCTCAAACCAGCTTATACCTTCTAGTTCTCATCTGGAAAAGGCCATCTCTGTTGGACCAGTCATTTAAGCTGGAAGATTATAATTTTTGGCCTCTCCTTCAAAGCTCACCCCAGATCGGGTCAATCACAAAGTGTTCTGCTTTCTCTCAAATCGGCCCTCTTCCCTCCTTCCCATCACTGATGGACATGACCTTAACTATCACCCATATGAACCATATCAATTGCTTCTAATAGTTTTCACTGCTTCCAGGTTCTTGCAGTAATCCAGACCCCCTTCCCCCAAATCACATCTATTCTTAGATTCCGACATCCTCTGGTGGTTCTCCATAGTCTACAATGTAAGTTCATATCTTACATGGTGTTTAATTACCCTTTGGTTTTTTGGTTTTTGGTGGGGTTTTTTTGTTTGTTTTTTTGGTCGGTCCCTACCAGCTTTTATCAGTATAACAAACTACTACTAGTACCTGAAAAGAGCCATGTTCTCTTAGGTGTACATCTGAGCAGAGTCTGCTCCCTTGATGCCCATTGGACCCTTACTCATCTAGTTGAAGCATTTTTCTCTTCTCAAAAGCCTCCTTTGATTCCTCTTGTGTTTCCCTTTTATCTTGCACTCATTTAGGATACAGGACTTATCACACAGTGAGATAAGTGGCCCTCCCACTTATCTGCATGCTTCTCAGGAGAGGGCTCACACCTGCACTTATGTCTGCCACCTCCTGGACTAGAATTAGAATAGGCATTCAGTAAATGCGTTATGAGTTGGCGAATGAACAGGGAGAAGTAGACACTTCCATCTGCCAAGAATGTTGTGTACCTTTTACCCAGAAAGAAATTTATTACGTGGGCCATGGATAGAGGACATAGATTTGACTGTATAGTCTATATTATGAGGGCAGAATATATAATGTTGACCTAATTGAGAGGGAACTTTTAGAAAGATCTGACATCATATACCTGGGCCACTTATATCTGAAAAAATATGGGAGAAAATTCTGATGATGATTCTTAAAATTGTGATAGTTAAATAGTTGTCTTTTAAAATGCTGTCTTATAAATATAAATCAGTATGGTCACTATGGAAATCAGTATAGAGGTTCCTTAAAGCTAAAAATAGAATATGTATGACCCAGCTATACCACTCCTTGGGACTTACCCAAAAGAACTGAAGTGTTCGTATATATTAGAGATACATGCATACCCATGCTTATTGCAACAAAATTCACAATACCCAAGTCATAGAATAAGTCTAGATGTCTGTCAACAGGTGAATGAATAAAGAAAATGTATATAGTTTTATTCAGCATAAAGAAGTATGAAATTGTCATTTGCAGGTAAATGGATGGAGCTGGATACCATAATTTTGAGTGAAATAAGTCAGACTCAGAAAAGTATGTTTTCTCTCATGTGAGAACCTGTGGGGGAGGGGAAAGACTGTATGAAATTAGAAGGGAGTATAATAGGAGGAAAAGAAGGTGGAAAGGCATTGGGAAGTGAAATTGATCAAATTATGGTATTATGTATGTCCAGATATGCCACAATGAAACCTAGCATTCTTTATAATGAATATTAACAATAAAAATTAAAGTGCTCCCCAAATTCATTCAGCTGCTATAACAAAATAATATAAACTGTGTGTCTTATAAACAGTATTTCTCAGTTCTTGAGGCTGGGAAATCCAAGACCAAGGCACTATCATTTGTAGTGCCTAATATAAGGGCCCTCTTTCTGGTCTATAAATGGTGCCTTCTCACCATGTTCTACAATGATGGACGCTATCTGAGGGCTCTGTCTCTTTAGTAAAGGTACTCGCCTTTTTCACATTGGCTCTGCCCCAATAACCTAAAGGCCCTGCTTTCTGATACTACTACCTTGGGAGAAGATCAATAACATAATGCGGTGGGGGGACGGGGGTGGTGGTGCAGGGAGAGGTAAGCAGCTAGTCCATTGCTTCTCTTATTTTAAAGTGAATTTTATTTCAATTCCACATCTCCTTTTCTTTGTGAATTAAGTGCAGATACACTGGGTTGTTAAGAGGAAAGCCATATCAGTTGGTCAGGAAGGGCTTTTTTGAATGAGAATTCAGAAGTGATTTCTAGCCATGCCCCTATCTCAGGCTGGCTGGTTCTGCTTGGTCATGGTCTACAGGCAGGGGCTTGGGATGTAGTTCAGTGACACAGCACTTACCTAGCATGAGCAGGGCTCTGGGTTCAATTTCCAATACACACACTCACACACCCACCCACACCCAGCAGGAAGAGCTATTAAGCTATTAGTTTGAACCTTATAATATCTGTTCACTGTGGTTTAATAGGGAAGTTTAGCTAGAAAATACTCTGAAGATAAATCTTTCTGAGTTTGTGATCTAGCCCTGTGCCTGGCATATGATGGGTCTCAAATATTTATTGAATTAATGAATTTTGCCTTAAATAGGTGCATCAGTGCACCTATTTAAGAGTAACCACATCCTGCTAAGCTTGAATAACTGAATTAATCAAAAAACTCAAGCTCAGGCAGGCATGGGTAGTGTACGCTGTAATCACAGAAGCTCAGGTGCTGAGACAGAAGGATCTTGATTTCAAAGCCAGCCTCAGCAATGGTGAGGCCCTAAGCAACTCAGACCTTGTCTCTAAATAAAATACAAGATAGGGCTGGGGATGTGGCTCAGTGGCCGAGTGCCTCTAGGTTCAATGCCTTGTACCCGCCCCCAACCCCCCAAAAGCTCTAACCATTTATGTACAAGGCGCTTTTATTTCAGGACTGACCATTTTAATGTTAGAGTGCACTTTTAATGAACCGATGTTTCTGTCTGAGACTTGAGGAGAGTTAGAGGGATATTGGAAAGCACTGCCAGTTTGGAATCAGTGTCTTCATTCTTGAGGACAGGTTCCTCTTTGTCCTTGTGAGAAAATGGGTGTCTGGTTAACCCAGGTGCTTTACCAGTCTTACTGGGCATACAAGAACAAAGGTAAGACTGGAATGGATCCTGTTTGATACATTCAAACCAAAATAAGACGTGTCTGTCTGACTTAAGAGAACCAAACAAGCTCAGAGGATGTCTTCATGACCTAGGGTTGGTATTTTGGTTTGATTGCAAGATAATGAAATATGTAGCAACAGATAATCCAATAATCCTTAAACTGCTTTTTCAGTTTCCATTCATACTGAGAAATAGAATATTCACTGTGTATATTAAGAGCATAATAATTGGACCTGGAACTGGCCGCTGCTTTTTTATTGTATATGGGAAGCTATGCTAGAATTACATCATATACATGTTTGATCAAGCGAATTCAATCAGAAACATAATCTGAGGGGCAAGAGGGGGTAATGGAATTTATAAGTTAAATAGCCCTTATAATCCTTTCCAGTATCCAACTCAAGTCCAAGTCCCTGAGCAACATGACATGAGGGATGTAGATCTGTTTTTTTGACAGGAGCCATTCTTGATTGCCATGTGTCTCTTGTAGCATAAATTATGTGCTGCATCAAATGTGATTTTACAATTTAAGTATTTGACCTTGGGGTAACATGGCCTGTGAGGGCAAACACAGATCTTCTTAGACTGCCAATAAAGCTGAATGAAAACTTTGATCGGAGGGGGCTATGGGACCTATAAACTAACACCTTTAAAGGAAGCTTAAAAATTGGCTTACACATGAACCTGTTTAGATAGTCTAGCTCAAAAATTTGAGAAAAAAGCTGGACTTAAGTTTTGAGAACAAATGAACCATTAAATCAGTATTTTGCAGGTGATCATATGGTTCTTTTATAAAGTTTGAGTAGCCAAGCTAGTACGCATCCAGTAAAGCTATTCCTGTGAGTAGAAATTCTCAAACAGGGTGATTTTGCTCTCTAGGATATCTTTGGTCATCATGATAGAGGGCAAGAAATAGGTGGTAGATGCTAAAAGCCTCTCGTAAGTAGAAGCCAGGGATGCTATCATTCCCGCAACAAGGAATTATTCGTCCCAAGTGCCATGGGACTGAGGCTGAGAAAGCCCACTTTAGATGAGTCTTAGTGAACAGCTTAGCAAGACCTGGATCCGTACCAAAGACAAAGTCTAAAGAATTTTCAAAGTTGTGAGTTTTTTCTCTTGGGACCTTTTTTCAGATTTATATGATTAAACCATGAGTTTAAAGTCGATGGTGTTAGCTATTAGCTCTGAACTGGGGAGGTCTCTGGAATCTACATAGTTTGGGCAACTATTATAGAACTGGCGGGCCCAGCCTTTGGTTTCATAAGACCTGCCAGAAAGCCCAAGTCCTGGCAGAGTCATCTAGACACTACCACAGACTGAAACTGATTGAAGCCACCCAAAGATTTATTAAGTTTCGCTCTTTCAACCAGCAATTCATCTTTTCAAAGAAAAGTTGCATGACAGATTCCAAACGGATACTCTGGACTCAGCTGTTGGGGACATTGATGAGAGCAGAGTTGGAATGTTCGTGCCCACTGTACTTTTTTTTTTTTTTTTTTTTAATAGGCAGGGCTTTTCAACCTGGGCTCCAGTCCTAGGTGTGTGTCATGGGCTCTGCTTGTAAGTGAGGCTCTGCTGAAAACAGGTGGCATATACTCAGAGGTGGCTGAAGGCATTCTATGTAGAACTGGCAGAGGTTCTGGGAGGTCAAGGGGCTGTCAAAAGGTGGTCAGGCACCCAGAGAAAGCAGCTGGAAACATTTTCCCACCTTTAGATATGAAGGAATTTGGTGCATGACTGGGATTTTGTAAGTCATAGCCAGAGGACAGAGACCATGGGAGGAATTAATGGTTTGAAAACCTCTGCCACACTTGTTACCCCTGTGAAGGGACCACGGATTTATGACTCTAGCCTCTCTTTGCTCCAACTTTTTTTGCTGGTCCTTCCCAAGGGTCGTCTGTCTGAAAGTGAAAGGAGCAAAAGTGGGCAGTGTTCCCATAGAGGAGAGCTCCTAGGGCACAAAGCAGGACAGAGAGCAGTCTGCGGGAGCAATCTGAGGGTATCCAACCAGCTGTGTGGTCCTGGGCAAGTTGCTTAATCTCTCTGAATGTGCTTTCGCATTTCTCCCGAAGAGACATTAACTTCTACTTCATGGTGTGAGAGTGGGAACTGAATAGGATGATGTAGTATGGTTCCTAGCAGAGTCCCCCAGTGAAGAAGGCACTCGATATATATTAACTTTGTTTCCCTCACTTAAAACCAGGGTCTGACCTGCAGTGAGGTTTGGGAACTAGATGAGGAGGTAGTGTTGGGCATTTGCAGGGACCCAGAGTGATGGTAGGTAGGAACGAATTCTGCCCCAGGGGACATCTTCAGGTCCTTCGTCACTTCTCCCCAGTTCTGTGATCTGCATGAGGGTGCACCACCCGATTCTCCACCCTACTGGGCAGGCTTTTTTATCCCCGGGAAAAACACCAAGATGCTCTGTCTTGCCCTGGCTTCTCGTGTCAGTGGAATCCCATCCTCTCCAGCCACGTTTACTCCAGTAATGTCCATTTCCTGGGATAAAGAATTTCTTGCAGTGGCTGTGCTAACTCTAGGTCCTTCCCCCACAGGATTGTGACAGCGCAATTCTCTGTAGATCCCTTTGTGACACAGTGAACCTCTTCATATTTCTTATAAATGATCCATCCCCATGTTCTTTTAATTAGCTTTTTTTTTTCCTCCTCCTCATATTCCTCTCACCCCAACCTTAAAATCTAGTTTAAAGCCCTCTGAATCAGATCAGCGCAGTTCTGGCCAAGTGCATTCTTCTGCTCTTTGCTAAGTGCATTCTGGCGATGCTGAGCTCTGTCAGGCTGCTCTCAGGCTGCGGTCCAGGGAGACAGATCCCAGTTTTGGACTCTGTGAACACTGCCAGGCCATCTTTGCCATGTCCTCTTTTCACTTCCAAACTCTCACCCCCTGCCAGGAGAAGGGCTGCCTGGGCACCAGCCCAAGTCCTTGCCGTCCTCCTTCCTGGCACAGCTCCAAAGATGCAGGCAGATCTCTGTGTCCTTCCATCTGAGGTTACGGACCCCTGTGTAAAGCCCTGGCAGCTCTTGCCCTGAAGCGTTTGCTGAATCACAGTCATTCCTGAGCCTGCCTCGAAGATAGTGCCGTGGGGCCCTTACTAGGGAGGAGACACCCTGCCCCTTCTGTCTAGCCCCCTTGGCAAGATGCTGTGTTCTGCTTTTCAGCCTCAGCTTTCTGGGGGTCATCACAGAGCCCTCCCCCCCCCTAGAGGGGTCACGGGGACTTCAGCAGACAGTTCAAGTGAAATGCCCTATAGTCATTCCTCAGAGGAAACCAGCAGCCCTGGCCAGCCCACTGCTTCCCTCAAATGTGAACATGACACAGCTCTTCCCCCCAGTTCATAAACCAGTGTTCCTTACCCGTGCCTGACTTACCTGCAGGGTGCTGGGTCCTCCTTTGTTGTCTTCTCTCGAGCTGGCTTCTCACACCCTCTTCATCACAGGGTGTGCTCCCTCAACTGTTTGTGCAGCCTTGACCAGAGCTCCCACATAGCTCATAGGAACACCTGAACTATTCCCAGGAGGAAGCATGCCCGTGACACAGGCATAGGTTGGGAGGCCTCTGGACAAATGAAATGTGACCTGTCTCTACCTAAATCAGCTGTCACTGCCCTTAGGGTAAAGTCCTAGGTCCTTCTCTCGGGCACATGAGGCCCATTGACCCAACCCCCAATTGCTGTCCACCTTCCCTTGCTCTCTGAGCTCCCACCGTACAGGACATCTTTTACTTCCTCTGAATGCTGTGTGCTCCAGGGCTGTGTGTGGCTCTTCCCTCTGCCCAGAATGCTTTCCCCCTTTAACTCCCTCTCATATTTGGAGACTCTGCTTAAATGTCCTTTCAGCACAGAGATATAGCTCCCCTCCAGACCTTGCAAAAGACCCTTACCATATTTTCAGGGAGCCATGCTTTTAATCTTAGAACATATATAACATTGATAAGTGTTTTTTATTGTCTGATGGGAGCTGAGAGGCTAGAATTTTCCCATGCTCATTGGAAGCAGGACATTTAGGATCTGTGTGTGTGTGTGCACGCGCGCGTGTGCGCACGCGCACGTACACACTAGGGATTGAACCCAGAGGTGCTTAACCACTGAGCCACATGCCTACCCCCTTTTACTTTTCTGAGATAGGGTATCACTAAGTTGCTGAGGCTGGCTTTGAACTTGAGATCTTTTTACCTCAGCCTCCCAAGCCACTGAGATTACAGGCAATGTGCCATTGTACATGGCAGGATCTTTTCTCTCTGCCCTTCTACAGTCTCTGTACTGACAGAGCTGGGTCTATCTGGATCAATGTGTGTCTCCACAAACACCATTGCTGGGTCAGAGAAAGGCTCAATAACTATTGTGATTAGTAGCAGTTAGGAATGTAAACCCTGTGCTTTGAAAGATCTTAGTTCCCTATAGACCACAGATTTACATAGTTCCTCCTGCTTCCTGAGGACTCTATTCGTAGATGACAACTTTCTCTGTATCTGTCCATGGAGCAGCAGGCCTGGCTTAGGGACAGTGACTCAAAAGGAATGGTTGTGCATATGTGAATGGGGGTGTTGAGGAGGTCTTGATGAAAAAACAGGAATGAGGAGGAAGAACATTCTGAAATTGGCATAGGGTCTTAGAGGTCATCCTGGTGCTTCCTACTGACCAGAACTGACAAGAAATTTGTGAGCCAGTACTGGCTTTGCGAACATCTGAGGACCTTCCAACATGAGAAGATGAGGTAATGGCTCCTGGGGACATTTTGCCCTTGTTGTACCTGTGTTTGATTAAAACAGCTAGGAAAGGGCTATAGCACAGAACCTGGCTGCTCCCTCCAGGCCTCCTTGTCACTGTATCTAGTACACACTGTGACCACTGCAGATAGGTTCCTGTGTCCCTAGCCCCATAGTGAACTTCTTTGAAGGCAGAGGTGTGTGGGGTTGAGGACATGGGTGCTACCGTAGTGCACGGCTTGTCTGTTTGCTCTTGATTATCATCTTTTCTCTTAAATCTTTGCTTATTTTAGTTGACTTGTGTGTGATCATTTAATTTGTTCATCATCAGGACAGCCTCACATGCCACAGATTTGCAGTCAGACTTTTTGGACACAGTCATGTGTTCTGGGCAAGAGGCAGCTTCAGAAATGATTAACTCCCTTGTTATTAAAAAAAAAAAAAAAAAAAAAAGTCACTTGGGTGATTGGAATCACTGACTTGAAGATCTGAGTCCATGCAGTTAGGCTTGGAATGAAATGGGTCTGTTTCTTCCCATGAGGGTGTGGCTTTGCCACTGCTTATATGTCCATTACCACACCAGTCCATTCAGCCCCTAGCCATTCAGGGGCCACGTTGCTGCATGAGTCTCATGTGTCAAGTGGAATAAGGCGGTGGGTTTACGTGTGCTGAAGTCAAACAGCCATCAATCATGGATCTTCTCTACTCCTGCCCAACCTCCTGGGGATGGTGAGTAGACCTGGCTGTCCCTGCCGGTGACAGAGCCACCAAGAGGCCCCCAACCCGTGTTCCCCAGATGCTTGCCATTGAAAACTCAAATGCATGCCACATGCCAGGCTGCTGGAAGTGTGTTATTGTTTTGATGTGGCTATTCTGAAGTTAAGTGTGCACAAACACACATGCTTTCTGTCAACCAAATGATGACGCTGCCATTGCTGAAGCTCTGCCTTTGCCATGCTTGTAAAACTAATAGGGTTTTGTATCTCTTGGCTAAATACTATATTATCAAATAAAAAGAAATTTCCATAAAAGTCTTTCCACACCAAAGGGGATTTTTTTGAAAGTCATATTCACTCTTTTCCATTCTGTCGTCCCCTTCTTGCAAAACTGTACAATGTGCCCATTCTCCAGCACACGGGCTCACGGTGTTCTGCCCTTTGGCTTCTTCCTGGTACTGCCAGCCTGGGCATTTTGTCTAGGAACTGCTCTAACACCGCCTATTCCTAAAACCTTCCCTCTAGGGACAGCCCCCAGGTGGCAGAGGGCCTTTGTTGCCCCTGCTTCCTCCCACCAGGCTCTTGGAGGGAAGGAGATTCCTGGTCTGGGCTGGAGTCCGCAGCTGAACATGCACAAGGCATAATTAAACCCCAAACAGGCAGATGGGGAGGGCTCATTCCTCCACCCCCATATCCTGCCTGAAGGGCATTGAGGAGATTCCCGTGGAGGAGGTTTGCTTCTCTGTGTTTGGAAATCGCCCAGGAACACAGCAGACAACTGGCATTTCATACTGCTTCCCTCCGTGCCCAACTTAGCTCCCTTGTTCTCAGAGGAAGAGGTCAGGGGTACTGTCCCAGGTAAGTCCTGGCAGAATGAGTTCTTACTGAGCAGCTGGGGACCCCTGCCCAATAAGGCCTGGATTTTCCTTCCCCACTGAAGGGTTGAGAATGCTCTGCATGCCCCATCACCAGTTGTCACTTGAGCCTGCAGAATTTCTCCATAGAGAGCTGCCTGATCTGCCTATTCCTCTAGGGTCCAGGCAGATGTAGTTCCTGCTATCTGCATATCCTGCCTGGATTTCTTTATCTCATATAGTAGTGTGTGCCTAGGACCTGAGCACTGCCCTTGGATGCGCTGCCAGGATTCCAGCAATGTGGCCTTGCCCAGCCCCAGGGTCCTATCCTCAGGAAGGACCCATCCTCCTCTGGGTTGTGCATGTGGCAACTGGCTCAGAGGTTTTTGTACTATCAGTCATTTTGCTGCCCATTCACAGTTCACAGCTGATGGCTTTGCTCAGCAAAAACATGCATAAGCCTGACTGCCATTTCCCTGCTCCCTAGTGCACAAGTGAGAATGTAAGCATTTCATCTTGGTGTGAGCATTCAATCACCAGTCTTGATGGGTTTATAAATAGTCTTTAATGCCCATGAGTGAATCTTTTAAATGTTTTTCAAAATCGTGGACTAACTTTACATGATGAACAAACATCATCCAAGCAATGGGTGATATGCCTCGTTGGTTTAGCCAATGTTTCAGAAAACATCAGGATGCTGCTGCTTGTCAGATCGATTCCCTGTGGATTTTGTCACTTTTCACCAGAAGAAGTTAAAAGAGCATGTGTTTTCTATTGCTGTGTAGCAAAATACTGCACACACAGTGATTGAAAACGGCATTCGATTATTGTCTCCCGGTTTCCCTGGGTCAGAAGTCCAGCTTGGCTCAATTAAATTCTTGGCCTTGCCTGTCATGAGGTGAAAATTAAGCTGGTGGCCAGCTGGGCTCTGATTAGGAAGCACTGGGAAGGGTCCACCTTCAGGCCCATTCAGGAGGTAGGCAGAACCCACCCAGTTCCTTGCACTTGTTGAACTGGGGTCCCTGTTCCTTGTTTTTATTCTCAGCTTCTAGAGGCCACCTTCATTCCTGTTGCATGGCCCTCCATCTTGAAAGCCAGCAGTATGTGAAAGAAGATCCTCCTGCTTTTCACCTCTCTGGCTTTCTTTTCTGTTGCTAATTGGAAAATTCTTGATTTTAAAAGGTTCACCTGATGGACTTGGGCCTAATCTCCATATTTTAAAGTCAACCGATTTGGGACTTTTATCTCACAATCCAGGATCCTTGCATGCGGTACCCCCTCCCCCCTTAGTATCTGACTGGATCACCGGGGAACAGGAATCTTGGGAGCCATCTTGAGACTTGTGTTCATCACAGAGCAGCACAGAGGAATCGACCTCACATCCGTTCTCCCATCTTAGGTGACCCTCCCCTCTGCCAAGAAATCCCTGTTGTCAATGTACTCTCCACTCTTATCTTCACCAGTGAGTGCTGGGGATCCTGAGCCTGAATTGGAGGCAGAGGCAAGGCAAGTTGCCAATGAAGCCAGCCAGGACATAGCCTCTTCCCAAGGGGAAGCGGAGAGTGAAGGGGAGCGGGCACTGGAGCAAGAGCCAGAAGAGCGAGCCTCCCTCAGTGAAAAAGAGAGGCAGAACGAGGAGGTGAACGAGAGGGACAACTGCTCGGCCTCCAGCATCTCGTCCTCCAGCAGCACCTTGGAAAGGGAAGAGAAGGAGGACAAGGTCTCCAGGGACAGGGCAACTGGTAAATGAAACCCCTTTCTGCAGGGAACCCCAGATAGAGGACCTGGTTTGCTGCAGAGCCTGTCCATAGGCTGGCCTCCAAGGTGAACTGCTGGGACAGCTCACGTCTCGAGCTATATCACCCAGCATCTGGACAGGAGGAGTATGGTCACACTAACAGCATGCTTCTCCCCCAAATCCTCTGCCCTGCTGTTGCATTTCTCACTTCCACAGGGAACAAAAAGGGCCCAGGCAATGAGTGCTTTTCCTGAAGAATGAGCCTTGGAGGAGAAACACATTTCACTATTTGCTTAGTTGTTGATATTAGTATGGGTGCCTTTTTTTTTTTTTTTTGGTTTCTGATTTCAGTTTAGAGACATGTCATATTGTTATCTACTCCCTACTTTCAGAGGGAAATAGATTTATTAAATGAGTGTTTCTGAAACTTTGTGGTTCACAGTGTATTGAGGTCAATTTGATATGCTAAACTGGAATATACCAAATTTAGGTAGTTTTCTCCATTGTACTCAGGACTCCTGTTTTTCATAGATGTACATGCATTTTCTTTATGAAATTTTAAATATTACCCCTGTTATTAATTCAGTTCACCTGAGTATGGGTACTTTGTAGTTAAGGATCAAACGGAATGCTAGATTATAGATTTGGCCCCTAAGGACCTCACCTGAGATTAAGGAGATACCCCAGAAGGTTATAGATGTTGTTAATTTTATAGAAATTAACAAGGCATTTCAGGTTATAGATGTTGTAACCATTCACGACATCTGTGACACCACCAGGTTGATTTCCTGATGTGTGTGCTGTCAGGGTGTGCTGCCTTCCTCACCAACCCCTCAATAGTGAAGCCTAATCGTACAGGCTTCTCTCTGTAAAGCTACATACAAGGGACACATCCTCAAGTCCCAAAGCTGTAGAGGGACTAATCAGCTATTGCTTGTACTTGTTAGTTCCCAGACTGAAAATATATTGGCTCTGAAGCACAGAAGAATGAAAGAAAAAGGAATGAGTGAATAAAATTAGTCTTCTAAAATACCTGTCAATCAGTAGTATAGTCTAAAATAGTTCCTTTTAAAATATTTTCCAGTTTGGATGTGCCACTTGGTTTTTTTTTCTAATCATGATATTATAATTAAAAAGTGAGAATTTATTAATTTATGTCCTAGAAATTGCCCTCAAAAATCTTGTGTGTTTAGTTGAAGATGTGCCAAAAAGCATTACACAAATTGATATTTACTTAATTTCCTTCAAAGTCAGATTGTAGTTAGTATCACAAATTCTACTTGTACTATTGATGCTCATTGAAATTTTGATCATAGCTCATAGCGCACAGGGTGTATGGTGAGTCTTCTTGATCACTTTGGCCTTAAATCATATTTTATGTATTATGAGTAGCTTTAAGTATTACTCATCATATCTGGGTTTAGCATGCCCCCAAAACATCAACAAGTTGGATTAGTAAAAATAAGATGGGGAACAAAACTTTCTTGGATCAGGTTGTGCAGTATTTTTACCAAATAAGGTCAACTTTCCAGAAATGGAGACTGCTACCAGTGAAGAACCATTGACTTTCTACTAAAAGTGGATGGTGTCCAAGTTGTGTAGACTCAGGAACCAGGATTTCACAGTGATTTCTCTCCAGTGCTGTGAAGAGATTTGATCATGTTTATTTGCACTAGCTTATTGGTTTTTAAAAACCCCCACTGCTCCTAGGCACCTATAGCCACAGAGTCAGGGCAGTTCTGTCATAGTAGCTTTTGCTTTCAAAATGTTCTCAGTTAAATTATAAACTTTAGAGGTAATTGAAATTATTACCAATATCATTTCTAATCATTGTGTCTATTATTGACAAATGAGTGGTCAGCCTGAAAGGGACTCATCTTATTCCAGTCAGGTGGTGCTATTTTTCTTTCACATGTTCTGCTCTGTGGCCCGAGTATGAGAAGCTTTGACATAGCATTCATTGCCCTTAGTTAAAATCACTTGTGTAATTGTCTGTTGTTTACACTTAAATGTCAGCTTTGTGATGATGAAATGTCTATCAGGTTCACTGTGAGCCCTCAAGTCCTCACTCTGTGCCTAGAGCACAGTAGTGTCTCACAAAGTCATCAGTGGGTAAATGAATGAAGAGGCGTCTGGTCCCCTTGTTCTTGATGTCAGTGGAGCCCAGCAGAGAGCTGAGCCTTCATCCTCACCTGGCATATACAGTGGGTAATACTGCATTTGGAGGGAGCGCTAGTCTGCAGTGATCTCCCCAACCCAGAGTCAAAGAGGACTGATAGGGAACATAGCCTCCACCTCTACCTAGAGACGATGATGCAATATAAATCAGTGGTCTGCTTTCCCTGGGAAGATGGCTGTGGGACCAAGAAGGTGGGGGGAACTGAAATTTTGTCAAACTCATCTGTGCTGAGACAGTGTGAGTCAGCACCCTTGCCAGGGTGATGACAGCATCACACACCAGGGAGCTAAACACCTATTTCCACCAAGATCTGAATGCTATACCAGGAAAGGGTGACTGCCTGCTAAGAGAGAAGATTCAACAGGATGCAAATAAGACACAAACTTGCTAGGATATGATTGAAAACTATCCACCCTATCAAGAACCAGAGCAAGTACAACTTGAAAAAAAGAGCCAACAGATGCCAACACAGATGAGTTTCACATTGGAGTTATGTGACAAGAATGTTGAAGCAGCCATCATAATAAATCTTCAGTAACTCAGGATGTACATGAAGAAAATGAAGTTGAATATGTATGAAAAAGAACCAGGGGTAAATTACAGAACTAAAAGGGTTAATAACCAAAATAAGTGCGGTGGATTTAATTAATAGATTAGAGACAACAAAGGAAATAGTCAACTCAAAAACAAGGTCAGTAGAAATAAACCAATCTTAACAGAAGAAATAGCAAAAAATTGATAGACACTACAGTTCCTCAGAGACGAGTGGAACTAATAATAATAGGTCTGACATCCTTGTCACTGGAGTCTGGAGAAGGAGCACAGGGCTAAAAACATGTTTGAAGAAATACTGTCCAAAAATGTCCCAAGTCTGTCAAAAGGCATAAACATCCAGGTTTATGAAGCTGAGACAACTCGAATTTGGTCCAAAGACATCCACACCAAGACAAATAATAAACTTATGAAAACTAAAGAGCTAAAACAAAGTTTTAAAGGAGGCTAGAAAGAAATATGTGACCAATAGGGGAACACTGATTTCTGGGAGAGCTCATCTACACACACAGAAGCCAGTGGGAAGGGCACAGCATTTTATTAGTGCCAGAAACAACTGTCAACCATAAGTTCTGTATTCAGCAAAAGTATACTTTAAAGAACAAAGGGAACATAAGGCTTTCTCAGATGAATACAAACTAGGAGAATCCATCACTGGCAGACTTTCCCTTCAAGAATGGTGGAAGGATCTTCTCTAAACAGAAATGAAATGATAATGGAAGGCTTGTAATTTCAGGAAGGGAAGAACAGAATGCGTGGAAACAGGGTAAAGAAAATAGACTTTCTCCTCAGAGGTTTCTGAAATAATATTTGAAAGTTGAAGCAAAAGTTTTAATATCATTTGATATAGTATTTCTCTATATATAGAAGAAATTTCAGATAATTTTGAAAGCATAGATGGTAAAGGGAACTACACAGAAAAGTTTTCTTCATTGCATTTAAAGTGGTTAAACATCAACACTTGTAGATCACGGCAGGTTAGTGTGTATGTTATAACACCCACAACAACCACTGAGAAAAATGCTTTAATGTACATAAAAACACTAAAAATAATTTCTAAAAAATTCAAATAATGCACAATAACCAAGAAAGGAGAAATGGGGGGGGGGACCAAAATGGCAGACTTAAGCCCTAACATTTCAGTTACTTTAAATTAAGAGATTGACAGTGGATTTTTTGAAAAGCTTAATTATATGCTGTTATATGCTGTCTGTATGGAACTGTTTTCAAATATGATGACCCGAAGATTGAATGTTAAAAGTTGGGAAAAGGGATATCAAGCAAACATTGATCAAAGAAAAGTAGAAGTAATTATGTTAATATCAGATAAAGTAGACTTCAGAGCAAAGGAAATTACTAAAGACAAAGAGACACCATAAAATGATTAAAGTAGATAAATGATAGAATCAAAGTATGTTTTATGTGTATATGAAAATGTCACGCAGAAATCTATTATTTTGTATAATAATCTGCTAATTTTTAAAAGACATAAAAAGAAAACTAGCCAGGTACAAAAACTATCTAGAAATACGCTTTTCCCTGTTGCCAGAAAATGAAAGGCCAACATTTCCCATCAAATGGAGAAAGAACCAGCCTGTCTGTTGAGCCTCGGCCACTCACCTACTGTCGCATTGAATAGTAGGACAACTTTACAGGGACAACTTGTGCAGGCTGGGCCCAGGGTCTTGGCAGTAGAGTGTGATGAGGAAAGTGGCTGGATTCTGGCTGTAACATGAGGATTTAGTCAGCACAGGAGGCTCCTTGGTATGTAGAAGATGAAAAAATAGGAGTTGAGGGTGATCTCAGTGTGTTTAGAATTGGCAGCAAGGTGCATGAAGCCACCCCAGCTGAGAGCGCAAACCACTGCAGAAGATGCTATGGTGAGGGCAGAGAACCTGGGAATGTGAAAGCCCTGAGACTAGATGAACTGATGACTATAAGAGTGGGGTAGATGAAAAGAGGAGAGCAATGGACATTCAAAGGAAAAACAAGGAGAAGTCGGGGAAGGAGCAGCGGAAAGAAGGAAAGTGAATGTTGCATCCTGGCAGGGGATGGAGAAGAAGAGGGAGATCAGCTTTGTCTAGTGAAGGTCACGGTCACTTGGAAAGGAGCAGCTTTGAAGACCATTGGGAACAAAAGCTCTATTTGATTGAGTTCTAGAGAAAATAAAAGAAAAATTGGAGACGGTGAGCAAAACAACTCTTATACTCTTGTAAATGGTGTGACCTTAAAGGAGAAAAGTTGGGTGACTGGTGAAGACAGAAATGGGGTCAAGAAAGTCTACTTGGTTTTATTTATGGGAGAAATTAAATTACTCAGCCTGGGGTTTGTAGCTCAATGATACAGCACTTGCCTAGCATGTGTGAAGCCCTGGGTTCAATTCCCAGCACCACATATAAGTAGTAAAGGCCCATAAACAACTAAGAATTTTTAAAGTGAAATTATTCATATTCTTCCAGTAGGAGAAGCCTGGGAGATGCAGGACAGAATAACTGGCATGGGCTCCTGATGTAACAGTTGAACCCTGCTAAAGGACAATTTGTGGATAGTCACAGGAGGGAGGCTTCTGGTTTTAGGTGCAGGTGGGAGGGTAGAGATGGATTGGAGGCTCTGGAAGATCTTCTGACTTAATCTGTTAAGTTGGTAAATTAGGCGAGGTAATTAGCTGAAGATGAGATGGGAAGGGAGGAGAAGGGAGGGGTGTGGAAAGTTCTGGTGGTGGTAAGCCATCATGAACTTCACTTGAAGCCGATGGCATGGTTTGTATGGATACAGAGTTGGAGTCTGGGGAGAGACAAAGGTAACCTTACAGCCCCTTTCCAGTGCCTGCTCTGGGCCAGGGAACTGCTTCCTTCCCTTTTTTATATAGTTAGAAAAGAGGCCCCTTGCCTGTGACCTGGTGGGTCCTGACCAGCTGCCACAGGAGGGCAGAGAAGGTGAGGAAAATTTCTCCCGTGAACCCAGGTGGGAGCCAGGAGCACTATGATACAGGGAAGGGGTCCTGGTCATGGAGCAAGCCGTCAGTCTCAGGCCTTTCTGCTTTAATTGCTTTATTTCAGTGTCTTTTTCTGAAGTCACTGCATGTGTCCTGTCCCTGTGTCCCCTCATTGGTTTTCTCATGGACGTAAAGCCTCCTTGCCACCTTCTCATTTTTATTTTCTTCTGTGTGCCTTCAGGTGTGTGGTCCGCAGGCATTCAGGATGGAGGTGTAAATGGACAGTGTGGCGATATCCTCACCAACAAACGGTTCATGCTGGACATGCTGTATGCCCATAACAGAAAGTCCACGGATGACGAGGAGAAGGACGAGAGAGAGACCAGGAGCAAGGAGCCGGAGGCGGAGGCGGAGGCGGTAGCCAGCCTCGCCTCCAGAATATCCACCCTGCAGGCCAACTCTCAGGCCCAGGACGAGAGCGTCAGGAGGGTGGACGTCGAATGTTTGGACAACCGGGGAAGCGTAAAAGCATTTGCTGAGAAATTCAACAGCGGGGACCTGGGGAGAGGCCCTATCTCTGAGGATGGGTCCAATGACAAGGTCCCCGAGACAGCACCTGCGCAGCTGAAAACAGAGTCCGACTACATCTGGGACCAGCTCATGGCCAATCCTCGGGAGCTCAAAATCCAAGACATGGATTTCACCGATCTGGGAGAGGAGGACGACATTGATGTCCTGGACGTGGACCTGGGTCACAGGGAAGCCCCAGGACCACCACCTCCACCCCCGCCCACCTTTCTGGGTCTGCCACCCCCGCCCCCACCGCCCCTGTTGGACAGCGTCCCACCTCCTCCAGTCCCTGGTAATTTATTGGCTCCTCCTCCTCCAGTGTTTAACTCTCCTCAGGGCTTAGGGTGGTCCCAGGTACCCAGGGGTCAGCCCGCATTCACCAAGAAAAAGAAGACCATCCGTCTGTTCTGGAATGAAGTCAGGCCTTTTGATTGGCCATGTAAGAACAACCGCCGCTGCAGAGAATTCCTATGGTCGAAACTGGAACCCATTAAGGTGGACACTTCCAAACTGGAGCACCTGTTTGAGTCTAAATCCAAGGAACTGTCTGTCACAAAGGTAGGTCTGGGCTCTAGCATGCTTCTTGATTTGCATTGGGGTAGGGCTGAAGAAATAAAGACCCCACCCACCCACCAGTGTAACTTTGGCTATTTGGTTTAAAAAAAAAATCTGACCTTTAGGATAGTAATCCTGTGGCACATGCTTGATGTAAGTTATGTGAGTGGAACATCGCTTCTATCATGCAAAGCAGTTTTCAGAGACTCAGATAACTTTTTTTTTTAAGGTTAACTACACAGAGCACAGTCCAGTAGCAGATGTTAGATAACTAGAGGAAAGTGGCCTTGCTGATTTAACAGACTCAGTCAATGTGTTTACCTTCAGGGATTGTGGTTGATAGTAGTACCTTGAATTTCATTTGTGGCTCCTCAATGCTTTTACAAAGACAATAATTTGGTGACATTTATTTGGATAATCCCCTAATTGAGACAACATAGTACAACAATCCTGATATTTCCCAATGGCCATATATTCAGCATCCTATAAATATTACAATGCATCTAAATTTCATTTTTTAAAAAGTATTTTTTAGTTGTTGATGGACTTTTATTTATTTGTATGAGGTGCTGAGAATCGAACCCAGTGCCTCACACATGCTAGGCAACCTGAGCCACAACCCCAGTCCTAAATTTCTTATTGTTCGAAAATGTTTGGTAACCTGTAAACCTTCCTGCTGTGGTATTAAGAGATGTTGGGTCCACTTTTATAGATGGGAAACACTGCCCATGAAATCATGGTTAGTGAGGCAATATATCAGAACACAGCATGCGTGTCTCACCAGTACAATGCAATAATGTCTCCTTCACACATTTTAAAGAACTAAGAAAACAACCAAAAACAAAAAAAAAAAAACTTGTGACTCAGGGTATATTCCAGTTTTAAAACAGGCTTGAAACCATCTGCTCTCCTTAGGAACTTGGAGTGAACATTGCAAGTGTTTGTTATCATGAGTCAATTAGAACTCTATATTGCTGCCCTGTCCTTGAATCATCTTTTGGGGTGAATAAAGCTGCCTGAGTCCGGCCTTCAGAACTGACTGAAGAGTAATACACAATCAGCCCTCCATGTCCATGGGAAGTATTCAAAAACTTTTGTCTGTACTGAACATGTACAGACTTTCTTGTCGTTGTTTCCTGAACAATAGTTTAACGACTATGTACATAGCATTTATGTAGTATTAGGTAACATAAGCAACCTAGAGATAAAAGTATATGGGATGATGTGCATAGGTTATATGCAGATGCTATGCTACTTTATATAGCAGACCTGAGCCTCTGAGGATTATGGTGTCCTTGAATGGTGTCACCAATCTCCCATGGATACTGAGGAACAAGTATATTGAGAAATTTTGTGAAATTGATTCTAGAAGTTGAAGAGTCAAGCACCAATTCTGAATCCAAACTGTGCAGGACAAGAGTACCCTACAAACAAGGTAGTGCCTGTCCTTGCTGTGCGATGCCAAAAGGCCAGTTAGGGGAGCTGTCATTGATAAATTTCCTCTTGAAACCCATGTTGAGGCTCTTAAACTACTTGCCACTCTTTGCTGGTTGGCATTTGCCCCAGTGTCTCTTTCTGCCCAGTCTGAGTGAGGATGTGATTCTAAATTGTTTCCAGCCTTAGGAATCCCCTCAAATAAAAATTAAAGCTTTCTCATTTGTAAACCCAAACTGCTGAGGTCTAACATTAAAAAAAATCATGTTACTCTTGCATTTCAGTTAAAAGTGGGTCTAGCTTTTGCCCTCTTAAGAAAATAACACCCAGGAAGGTAGTGCTGGACCCTTACTCTTGGTGTGCTTGTGTCCATACTGGTTCCACGTGGTGTTGAGCAACCCACATGCCCCTTTCTGATTGTTACATTCAGACTGGCATTTGGGAGAACAGCTGGGGTTAAGACAGCAGTCCCTGGCTGCCAGAAGTCACCCACAACCTGCTTTTCTGGCACCACCCCTGACCCACTGATCCAGTTAGCCAGCCTCCTCCTCCTCTTCCCCCCCTTCCTCCCCCTTCCTCCCCCTTCCTCCCCCTTCCTCCCCCTTCCTCCCCCTTCCTCCCCCTTCCCCCCTCCCCCCCTCCTCCCCCTTCCTCCCCCTTCCTCCCCCTTCCTCCCCCTTCCTCCCCCTTCCCCTTCCTCCCCCTTCCCCCCTTCCTCCCCCTTCCTCCCCCTTCCTCCCCTTCCCCCTTCCCCCTTCCCCCTTCCTCCCCTTCTCCCCTTCCCCCTTCCTCCCCCTTCCCCCTTCCTCCCCTTCCTCCCCTCCTCCTTCCTCCCCCTCTCCCTCCCCCCCTCCCCCCCCTCCCCCCCCCCTCCTCTTTGTGTGCTCTTTCTGCAGGTTGTGCTCATCACCCTTGGAGTTTGCTGGTGAGAGGCTATCCCTTGACTCAGGGTTGAGAAGAATGAAAAAGAGTAATGGTTTGGCAGCATAGGCACTTCTAACTTACTTTTTTTTACAATGGAAATAGTAAGACTAAGTTGCCCTGAGAAGACCCAAAATGAGTGATTCACCTGCTCCCTCCTGTGCTTGGTTCCATGTGGCTAGATTGGTTGATGATAAGATTGGGGTTTCTGTCCTCTCTGTACCTGGAGGTTTCATTTTTACCTGAACTATGTAGTTACCTCTTAAAATACTGTAATGACTAGCCGATGGATAAATGTTTGCCTAGTTTTTGTCCAGTGTGGACATAAGAGGAAAGTAATATACAATCATCCCTCCATATCCAAGGGAAAATATTCAAAAACTTTTGTCTGTACTGAGCATGTACAGACTTTCTTGTCATTGTTCTCTGAACAATAGTTTAACAACTATGTATGTACATAGCATTTATGTTGTATTAGGTAATATAAGTAACCTAGAGATAAAAGTATATGGGATGATGTGTACAGGTTATATGCAGATACTGTGCTACTTTATATAGCAGACCTGAGCCTGAGGATTATGGTGTCCTTGAATGGTTTTGTCACCAATCTCCCATGGATACTGAGGAACAAGTATATTAAGAAGTTTACCAAATTGATTCTACAATGAGACACAGGAGCCTGTACCTTTGGGTTTTTGGAAAAGAAAATGTGAGCAGGAGCTTATTTTAAAAGGTGACCAAAAAATATTCAAATTAGGACTAAAACACATCACTTTGGAGAGGTGTATCCATTTTGTGTATGGTCTCAATTCAGACATAACCGATTTCACTTCTGTTTCTAATCATTGATTTTCATAAAAAACAGCTGTAAATAGCCACTTCCGAATTCTGGCTCATGAGAAGTTTTTCATTAAACACAATAGACTGAAACCAAAATGAAATAGACTTCACAAGACAGCAGAAAACAAAGGAAATGGGTTTTAGTTTCCATTGGAAAACTAACACCAGACCCTAGTTATAAGGCATGGCTGTGACCATCCAAGTCACCCCCAAACAGTCACAAGCCAGAGCCAAAGCTGGAGTGACCATTTAATGAGCATGAAAAGGGCAAAAAGATGTGCTTTTTGGTTTCCTTTCAAAATAGTTTCTGAAACAGGATCCCCCTTTCTCAGCAGGAAATATATACAGCTTTGTAGTAAGATGACTTTGGTTGTGTTTTGTGGAGAACGGCAGAAATCTTGTGCTAAACTGCATGTTGTATTTCTGCTGGTCTGAAATGTGGCGAATCACATAGGAGATTAAATGAACCCCTGGAAAGATGTCAGGGTGAAAAGCTCCTGCAAAGCTTATGGGTTTGACATGAGGATCCCCAAGAGGTGGCCTCCCAGCTCTTGCGCCTCATCAGGGACAAGTTATCAGCAGACCGAGAAAGGAAAGGAATAGAACAGGAGACCAGAAAGACGAGGACTTAGTTTCCCTTTGGGGGCCTGATGGTATCTTGCTTTCTTGGGCTCACTAGGTTTTCATGGGGGTGGGGGGGGCTCCTGGATGAATTTGGAGATTAGTTTAACTTCATTTACCCCTAAATTTCAGAATACATCAGAAACTACTAACGGTGACTTTTAAAGCAAATTTGGGGGTAGTGATTTGATTGATTGGAGGATAAGCCCGGCCTGGGCTGTTTATAAAGCACCTCAGGGACTTTTGAGTACAACCAAGGTTGTGACTTGATGATTTAAAGTGACAAATGAGGCACCAAAAGGGCATTGCCTCCCTATCACCACCTCCCACAGTGAGGCTCCTCATCTATTTTCCTGAGATGAAAACCTCCCTATACTATATTCAAGGTCAGGGCATAAGGGAATATATTATTTTACTTAACATCAACCTCAGACAACCTGAATTCTACCTGGAAATTCGAGAGACAACTTCTATGCCTGTTGTGCCAGCACAGGTCCTCATGTATGTTTCCTGGTTAGGGTAATAGATGCATGACCACAGAATGTCTGTTTAATCACTGGCCTTTGCTACCAGAGACCCAAAGGGCAAATACTGGACGTTAGTATTTTTTTCCCTTAACAGGAAGGCAAGCCTATTCTGGTGAAAATTTTATGCCTAAGTAAAGGCTTTTCAGTTTTTTTTTTTTTTTTTTTGAGACTGTTATTTATTATTTTTGTGCCTTACACTTTTGCTGTGTATCTCACCATCTCCCTTATTGCAAGGAAAATTCCATAGCTGTCTCATCCTGGAGACATCTATATTATTGCATCCTTGTAACTGCCCCTTTCTCAATGGACAGTTTGGAAAAGGTCCTGTGACATCACTCTTTGGCCAGTGGTCAGGGAGCGAGGAGGAATGATTCACCATTTCTAGAGCTTTGGAGCCAGACCAGACCTGGGGTCTCCAACAGAGATGTTGAGAAGTGTGCTCAGAGCTGGGTTGCCTTTCATGGAAGCGTTCTAGGACTTTGCAGTATTCTCCAAGACTCAGGGTTCTCTAAATAAACCATGTCCTTAGCCTCGTTTCTATTTTCAAGCTCAGGACCTCCTGGGATGACATGTTCTATGTGTTGAATGTTTTCTTTTTAAATACTATACCTTCGATTCCTAGTGAAATTACCACTTAAAAATTCAAAGGGGGTGATTAAT